TCTTGATTAGTGATTTTTTTCACTTTTTAAAACCCAAAGCTCTTTCTTCAAAAAATCTAATTTAGGATCCCAGTTTTTAAACAGATAAAACAAGACTGCCCTGGCTGAAATGAGAACGGAGGCTCAGAGCCACCTTCATGCTCATCACTTAGCAACCTGCAGATCCCAGAAAAATGCCTGTGCAGCCCTAGGGTTCTGTAAGAAGTGGTATGTTCCATTGTTCAATATACTCTTAATTTTATTATTGAATCAAGCCAATCTGCAGAGAGATATATATTTGAAAAATGATTTGGGCCTTCATAGAATTGTCAGGCTTCCCAGATAGCACTAGTGGTAAAGAATCCGCCTGACAAGTCAGGAGACACAAGAGACAGTTTTGATTCCTGGGTCGGAAAGAACCCCTAGAGAAGGAAATGATAACCCACTCCAGTATTCTTGCCTGGAAAATTCCATGGACAGAGAAGCCTGGCAGGCTACAGTCCATGGGGTCACAAAGAGTCAGACATGACTGAGCACACATACACAGAATTGTCTGAAAGTATAGAATTAAATTTATTCAAATTGCATTGTTACCCTATTTTTAATTAAAATAGATTTACTTAAAAAGTAACCCAAGGATCAAGAGTTATATTTAGTATAATGGACAAAAGCATAGACTTTGGAACTAGATTGAACACTTTTCAAATCCAGCCTTTCCATTTATTAACCATGTGACCTCAAGCAAGTTACTTGACTCCCCTATGCCTTTGCTTCCTCATCTGTAAAAAGATGAGGACAGTAATACTATCTACCTCAGAAAACACTGTACTAACATGCTATATATAAATGAGAAATAAATGAATTCTAGTTTATAAAGCAATCAGAAGAATGCTATAAAATGCAATAAAGTGAAGTCAGAAATTTCTTTTCTGTAGCCTCAGTATTAAGAAAATTTCTTTCACCCAAAAATGTGTATTTTTATAATGAAAGCACTGTGATTCTTAGAAATGAATTCTTCTTTATTGTGGCAAAAATATGAAGATATGTCTCCACTTCTCCCTCTAAGGCCCATGGGAGAAAAATTAGATGACTTCTCACTGAAACCATACAAAGCCCCAGAGTATTTTCAAAGTAATCCACGTAACTACTACTAGGTCAAAGCTGTCACCTAAGTATATAAAACCTATTACTCTCCTTGGGCTACAAGTACTCTTTCCATTACACCACCCTGCATTCTAGGTGGAAGGAACCACAAGCCCAAAGAAATTAATACAGAGCATGTTTATAAAATAGTGAATATAAGAAAATAGCACAGGTTTTTATTTATCACAAACTCATATTAACTTATTATGTCATTAATTTAAAATATTAATATTAAATAATACAAACTTCATCATAGCAGATGGGAAAACAATGGAAACAGTGACAGACTTTATTTTCTCAGGCTCCAAAATCACTGCAGATGTTGACTGCAGCCAAGAAATTAAGAGACGCTTGCTTCTTGAAAGAAAAGCAATGACAGACCTAGACAGCACGTTAAAAAGCACAGACATTACTTTGCCGACAAAGGTCCGTATAGTCAAAGTATGGTTTTTCCAATAATCATGCATGGACATGAGAGCTGGACCATAAAAAAGGTTGAACACTGAAGAATTGATGCTTTCAAATTGTGATGCTGGAGAAGACCTTGAGAGTCCCTTGGACAGCAAGGAGATCAAACCAGTCAGTCCTGAAGGAAATCAATCCCAAATATTCATTGGGAGGATGGATGCTAAGGCTGAAGCTCCAATACTTTGGCCATTTGATGCGAACAGCCAATTCATTAGAAAAGACCCTGATGCTGGGAAAGACTGAGGGCAAGAGGAGAACGGGGCGACAGAGGATGAGATGGTTGGATGGCATCACTGACTCAGTGGACATGAGTTTGAGCAAATTCTGAGAGATACTGAAGGACAGGGAAGCCTGGCATGCTGAAGTCATTGGAGTCACAAAGAGACAGACATGACTTAGCAACTGACCAACAACAAAATGTGTTGAATACCTATGTACCAGGTACTCTATTGAATATTTTACACATATTCTGTCATTTAATTTTCATAACAAATCTTTGGAGCCAATAAAATTGTGATTCCCATTTTACAGATAAGATAATTAAGAGTCAGAGAGACTAAGCAATGACACACAGGTAGTAAGTATCAGGGTTAGGACTCAAACCAGTTTTACCTGACTCCAAACCTGTGTTCTAAACTGCTCACAAAACATGACTTTATGTGACATACATGAAAAATAGGAATGAAGAAAACAAAACTGATGTAAGACACATTGCAAAAAAGGAATCCATGGAGTTCAGCGACTGTTGCAAGGTATTAGAGAAAAGGAGGGAGTTAAAATGACTCAAGTTTGAAGTGTGAGTAACATGGAGAATAGGGACAGTGTTCAAAGAGAGAAGTCAAGAAGAGCTGGCTTCTGGCAGCGTGATGAGTTCATACTTAGATAGCACTCCTTCCAGAGCAGGAAACAGTGTGTAGAGCAGTGTTACTATTTTCACATTAGTTTATGCTACTCATACATCAGATTTTCCAAAAGCCTAGGCAGAGGGTAGACTGGAACTCCTACTTCTTGACAGTCTGAACAGATTTTTCTATCCTCCTTTACTATTTGAACAATAAGCATGATTTTAAAAGTGGTCAGAAGAAAAAGAAATTAAAGGTACTAATTTCTTAAGGAATGGGTAGTCTTTTTTCTAGGAGTTAAAGCAATGAACACATCCTTCTGCACAACAGCCACCAGTATTTTGGCAAGAACTATACAGGGAATATCAAAATGGGCAGTGCCCTCTCAGTAGGATTAGAAGTTCCACTTTTCATGAAAACTTCTGTTTCTTTCACAGCCACCACCATGACCACCACCACCACCATCACAAGCGAAAATTTTTCTGAGAAAAAAAATTCATGATTGATAAAAAATGTCACGTTTCTGCTTTTAAATAGTTGTTGACTTAGGCAAGTAACTTGACCTTTCTGTGCTTACCTATTTCCCTCCTCTACAGACTTGGTAGGTTGTTTAGATTTTATTTAGCTCAGTCTTCACTTTGACTGAACTGATGCTACAGTTCTGTCCAATGTTTTACATTCCATTATTCAAAAAGGTGGAGAGGAGAGGCCAAAGAATACTAAAGCTGAAAGTACTACTACAGTTTATTTTGTGCAATTCCTCAGTTTATAAACAAACAAAAAAATGAGGCACAGGGTCTTGTCTCAGCTGGTCAGCAATAAAGTCCACTCTAGAACTGAGCTACTGATTCACAATTTTGGGCTTTTCCCAACGCACCACTGTGTCTTTTCTAACCAGCTGGTTTAGAAATATTCACCTTAGGACTTCCCTGGTAGTTCAGTGGTTAACACACCATGCTTTTAAAGCAGGGGACATGGGTTTGATCCCTGGCCAGGGAACGAAGATCCCACACGCTGCGTAACTCGACCAAAAAAAAAAAAAAAATACTCACCTTGGATGAACTCAGAGTGAGTCACAGGGAAGAAAACAAACAACAAACAAAAAATACAAGGCCTCACTGACTGGAGAGAGATTTATGTGTAGGACTTAAGGTTATGAAATCTCATAACACTTCACTTGAGACATTAAAAAAACTGTGTTATGTGCTTTTTATAGCACAGTATAATAGCAAAGTCTTCAGACAGAATCTCTGGTCTCACAGCAGACACAGCATACCCTTAGAAAACCTGCTCTGAAGTCTCAGCTCCTGTGACTACAAAGGGAAAGAGATGGTACCTTTCTACCTGGGAGTGCCCACAACAAAATCTGCAGTTGGTTCCCACTTTGACTTTGCTGCTAGAAAAGCAAAGGGGAAAAAAAAAAAAGACAATGTTCTGAACTAGGCATACAGGAAAGAAATTGGGTGATGGAGGGTGCCAGCCAAGTCCTCTAGCAACATCCCAGGTCCCCATCTTCAATTCTTTTTCTTTACTGCTGACCTTTAGAAGGATACAGAAATACTGCTGTAAATAGAAAACTCAAAAATGGAAACTCTAGTGAGAGTCAGCTGGCACTGGTGAAGAAGCTGTGTGCAGAAGTACATGCTGTCTGCACCAGGGGCTGGCTCTGCTCACAATCTCTGTGGTGAGCTGTAAAGCTTAATACAACCATCTGGTGGACACCCTGGAATTCCACAGAGATAGACACTAAATGAACACAGAAAAGACTTACAAAGCTAATTCGTTGTTTTTATAGATCAGAATCTTTTTACCTTCTAGACAAGAGTGAAAATGAAAAAATGAAATTAACTGTTTCCCCCTTTTGAGGTAAAAGCAATCTGGAAAATAAAATAACTGCCCACTCTGAACATAAAGGAACATATCTCTTCTGACACTTGTGTGCTTCAAGTCTTCCAAGGGTTGCTTTTCTTAATGATGGGCTTTATGCTGTTTACAACCCCAGAGCCAATATACTTAGTAAATCTCTTACTCTAAAATGAATTTTTTTTAAAAAGTTGTACTAATATTCATTTATTTATTCATTCATCAACAAATATTTTGAGTGTCTCTGATGTGCCAGGCACTATTTTGGGTGCTATGGATATAGCAGGGAATAAACTAAATTCCTGTCGTGGAACTTATATTCTGTTTAAAATCTCTCCCTAGACGTTTGTTGAATCAATGAGTGATTAATAATACTGGGGGTAGCCTGTGAGAATTAGGTGAATTAGAACATAAAGATGTGTTCAGTTGCTCAGTTGTGTCCGACTCTTTGAAACCCCATGGACTGTACCCCACCAGGCTCCTCTGTCCATGGGATTTTTCATACAAGAATACTGGAGTGGGTTGCCATTTCCTCCTCCAGGGGATCTTCCAGACCCAGGGATCGAATGCTCGTCTCCTGCATTGGCAGGCAGATTCTTTGCCACTCCGTCACCTAGGAAGCCCAGTATAGAAATGGGCTGTGAGCTATATAAAACCTAAGATTAAAAAATATATACATATATATTTTATAAATTGATCCTTGAATTTCATCTCATTCCCATTCAACTCCCTCTTTAGGTTTAGCTAGACTGCTATTAAATAAAATAGAAACAATTTCTAAGAAGTATTTCTCCCAAGACACTGAGCATAAAATAGCAACCAAGGAAAAAGAGGTCCTCATAAACAGAAAAGAAAATAGAACCTGGTAATGATCACCCTTATCCAGTGAAGTCCTCCATGCTTCTACAAGCATCAGGTTTTTTTAAATCCAGTGAATCTCAAAGACCAGCACTAAGATAAGTAACAACCTGGTCGAAAACTTACTTCAAGGAGGTTCAGAGATGACCTTCCACAGCCTGGACTTTGAGGTTCCATGTTGGTTAAGTTCATCTGAACCAGTGGATTACTGCTGACCTCCAGTCAGTGGCATCTTAATTTTCATGGTGTCCTGGGTGGTGCAGCCAGTGGAGGGATGGGTCAGACAAACTCAAGTGTTTCATAATGTAGTCAGGCACAGAGCTTGTCCTTAGCCTCTGGGAAGTAAAGTTATGAGGATAAAGGCTTGTGACGGAAATCACTTCTAGCATCAAGGAATGTTAACAGGGCAACATAGACAACAAAGCCTAGGTAATTATTAAAACAAATCTCCAAAGAAAGGCCATCACTGGCTGAAGCTATCTCTCAGTCTATCTTTCTAAGCTCACTGAATGAAAGAAGTTTATTATTACATCAGGTAAAGTTAAAAAAAAATACCAAAGCACATAATATTTGCTACCAAAAATGATGCTACCTTCATCTCAGGGTAGTTTCTCCTTAGAAGGCACATCTATAATAAAAGGAATGAACTAGGTTTTATTTGCCCTCACTCTTGTACAAAGTACCATAAATATTACTATTGGCTATATTCATATCCAAGAAAAGAGCTGAAGTCAAACAACAGTTTTCAAATAATACCAAGGATATGCAGGTTAAAAAAAATCCTTAAAAAAAATCCCCAAATATAAACATGAACAAGAATATAAAACAACTTGATGAGGTCCATAGTACAAGACGCTTCCATCCTGAGAAGAGAATTAAGAGGTAGGTTCAAATCCTGATTTGCTGCCTGGATCATCTCCTCAGGCAGTCCCTCACAAGAAGGACAACTTCGTTACCAGTAATGATAAAGCAGTTAGAAGCAGTTCTTATTTAATTAGAGGAACCCAAGTAATGATGAGCAATAGATAAAATACATATATTGAAAGAACATGTACAAAACCAGTATTATTTTTGTGAAGTGTCTGGTATCAGAAAGACTTGGGGAGGGGGAGATAGATGCGGTGGGAGCGGGGGCAGGAAGCAGATGTAAAATGAGGAGAGGAAGCATAAGAAACACTTGTGAAAAGGGTTGTTAACTAATTCTAATCTTTTGCTTTTTAAAACTTTCAAAATATTTTGAGTATTGGTTCTCTTCTTCTTCTCCTCTTTCAAGTTCTCATTCTTTTCTCCAGTTTCCTTTAATGGCTTTTTCTTCCTTTGGGGCCTTTTCCTTTTTGTCTCCATCTTCTCTATACTGCTAAGCTCCGAGGTTCTGTGGTTAAGAAAGGGATGATACGAGAGGAAAGAATGAGAGTGTGACCAGAATTAGAGACTGAAACACTTACCTCCCTTAAGCCCTAGTTCTATAAGGATGTCTATATAACCCGGTAAAAATGATCACAGAACATGGCAGAAATGAAGACTTACGAAAGAAAGTCCACCATTATAAAGTCCAGTCATGAAACGTGTTCAAACATGCACAGTCATTTGCTGCACCTCCGTATATTCCACCATCTGGATTTGATATTACATAAAAGCATAACAGGAAGCATTGAATGCCAGAAGGTGTGCATGAAAGAAATGACTAAGAACAACACCTCGCCAGTGACCCAAAATCCAGTGTTTAAGATGGACGGGTTGTTGTCCATACATTCTTGGAAAGCCAAGAAGTGTGGCTTTCCAGAGTTGTTTCAAATGATTTCACATTTCAAAATGCATGAAAATTGTTCATCTTGTGAAATAGGCATAATCATTGCTGGCATTACAGGGACTTAAAAGGGCCACTATGTACCCAGGAAAACAACCTGATACATCTAATAATAAATGTACACTCTCCATCCACGAGTAAAGTATAAAATGAAATAAAATACACAAACAGAAAAAATAAAGAATGCTAATGAAGATATCTTGAAAGGTAACCAGCAGGGGTTTCCCAGCTAGGGCTACTGGGAAAGAACCCACCTGCTAATGCAGGAGACATGAGACAAGGGTTCGATCCCTGGGTTTGGAAGATCCCCTGGAGGAGGGCATGGCAACTCACTCCAGTATTCTTGCCTGGAGAATCCCATGGACAGAGCCTGGGGGGCTACAGTCCATGGTGTCACAACAAGTTGGACACAACTGAAGTGACAGCATACACACCATTATTTTTATTATTAAGCTACTGGAGTATTTTGAAGTCTTAATTGCCTTTCTTTTCCTCCTCTGTGTCTTTTTATTTTTCTTCCACCTTCAACATGCTTCTCAATCCAGACACATAGAAATGATACATTTATTGCTTCCAAGTAGTTTTGGGACAAGATAGAAAGTAGAAGATGGCAGCAAATCATTTTCATCATTCTTCCAGGATCTTAAGAGAACACAGTGGTTTTGTGAAGGGGACGTACGTTTCTTGCTGAACATCGAAAAAGTGTCTTGGCTAAAAATAAAAAGGGAAGAAGACTGTCATAAATAGACTCCCTCTGATCTAGGTTGGCGGCTGAGGGGAGAAGAGAGAGAGGGGGAGGCTTGCAGATTCTGAGAGCAAAGTAGACCTGAGCCCATGTCCTACCAGAATACTAGTGCAGCAGTGAGACCCAGAGAGAAATGGCTGCCTGCTCTGTCTTGGCTGGGAGAGCACAACCACCTAAGTACAAAATTTTCAGCTAAAGTCCGCAGGTAAAGGTAAAGCAGATCATTCCCACAGGTGATGTATAAATTAAGGTTTTTAGCTTGGCAGCATATTGCATCTGGTTTGAGCAAGAAAAGAATGTATTGCCTTAAAAGTGGAATTTATTGGAAGGTTATAGGGAAGTTCAGGCTTTCCAGATGGTGCTAGTGGTAAAGAACCTGCCTGCCAAGGCAGGAGAATCAGGGATGTGGGTTCAATTCCTGGGTTGGGAAGATCTGGAGGAGGGCATGGCAACCCACTGCAGTATTTTTGCCTGGAGAATCCCATGGACAGAGGAATCTGGCAGGCCACAGTTCACAGGGTCACAAACAGTCTGACATGACTGAACTGACTTAGCATGCACACATGCACAGAGGGAAGTTCAAGGAACCAAAAGCAATTTGGGAAGATCTAGCTTCAGAAGGGGAAGACCGAAGTAATTTTGATGACCTGAGTAACAGGAAGTATGGGCTTCCTTCAGGGTGCTGACAACAAGTTCATCAGCTACAATTTTTTCCCATCCTGAGTCACTCCTCACAAAATTTAAATTCCAGGAAGAGCTGGATGAAACTTACTTAGATCCCTTTTCAGTTAAGGAGGGTAGAATAACTTGTCTGATACTTGCAGGAGATGTTAAGTATTAGAAGGGTTAATCACTGAAAATTTAACTGCTATTACAAAGAATGACAGAAAGAATGGATGCTGGGCAGACATAAATAATATATGCCAACTATGGGGCCAATTTTATATATACATAAATCTCGCATGGTTGATTACCTTTTTAAAAAAGTATTTATTTATTTGACTGTACTGGGTCTTAGGCGGGACATGAGGAATCTAGTCCCCTGACCAAGGATAGAAACTGGGCCCCCTGTGTTGGGAGTGTGGAGTCTCAGCCACTGAACCACCAGCGAAGTCCCCTGGTTGATCACTTGCTGATACACTGTTCATGTGTGATAATCAACTGGAAGAAGTTGAGGTTCAATTTTTTTGAGTATTAATCAAGTCACTCTCCTGTTTACAAGTATTCACTGACGCCTCATTCTCTCCAGTTCTTTTATATTCTTCCAGTCCTTGCCTATCCCTCCAGCTTCATCCTCAGTCCCCTTCCTTCAGCACTGTACATTCCCATAATACTAAGGGACATGCAGTTCCTTGAATACATTATCTTATTTCATATCCACAGTTTTTACACACGCTACTCCCATTGCTTGGAATGACCATCCCTATTCCTTGTCTGCCTGCAGAATCCACTCACCCAAATCAAACATTTCCTCTTTAGGGATATCTTTTACCCCCTAATATCCTTTCCCCATCACTTCTCTTCATCATGGTATCCCCAAATAAATTCATTGTTCTACTGCAATTATTTGCTCATATATTTGCCTCACCTATAGATACATGAGCTTTTAGGAGTAGATTCTGAATAAACAGTGTTGAATTGGGACTTCCTTGGTGGTCCACTGGTTAAGACTTCACCTTGCAATGCAGGGGACTCAGGTTCAATACCTGGCTGGGGAGCTAAGATCCCACATGCTTCAGGGTCAACAAACCAAAACACAAAACAGAAGCAATATTGTAACAAATTCAACAAAGACTTAAAAAAAAAGAAATGGTCCACACACAAAAAAAAATCTTTAAAAAAAAAACTTGTTGAATACATCAGTGAATTTTCCAGTCATGTACCAATATTCACCCAGGGCTCACTCTGCTTGCAGTTATATACAGGAGATGTATTAGGGATTCACACAGAATGTTTACCACCACATTAATTCCCTGTCAGGGGTATGCAGTGGGGAAGGAAAAGTGTTCTAGGCAAGACACACGTTTTCATTAGAATCTCTGAATATTCACTATTCCTTAATTCCCATGTCTACCTGAAAGCACAATGCACCATTTCCTGCCTATTTTATTTGCTGATATTACTTTTGCAAATTTTATTTGTCTTCATTTCATTTCTGTAATGGTAAAGGTCATACTCCAAATTATTTATAAATTACTAATGAAATGCTGGTTTTATATTTCACTGTACAGCACTGTCCCCTAACAGCCTGGGTGTTAATCCTGGCACTCTGGGCCAGGTCACCTGACATCCTGGTCAGGTGACTCTGGGCCAGACTATTCAAACTCTGTGCCTCAGGCACCTAATCAACGAAAGTAAGGTCCGTAATAGTACCCAACACATTGAATCATTGAGAGGGTTAAATGGGTCACAGATGTAAAGCACTTAGAACATTGGTTGGCAGATAAAAAGTGCTAAATAAATGTTAGCCACCATTCTTATTGAAATAAAATGTACACCCTACCATAGTATCACATTTTTTTGTCATTAATACAGTGCATGAGAAGTATAATTACAGGAAGCATTCAGAAAACATGAATTTACTTCTATCACAGTAGGATTCAGGTTCTCTGGTGTAATAATCAGGATACAAGAAAGCGTTCAAAGCCACTGCAATAGAGAACGACGCTTAAGGAGCTAATGAATGAATGGAGGAAACAGGGTAATACGCAGACGTGCCAACTCACCTCAGCCGTGTCTCTTTGTGATCCCATGGGCTGTAGCCTGCCAGGCTCCTCTGTCCCTGGGATCCTCCAGGCAAGAACACTGCAGTGAGTTATCACGCCTCCTTCAGGGGACCTTCCTGACCCAGGAATCGAAACCGCGTCTCCTGTGGCTCTTGTATTGGCAAGCAGGTTCTTCACCACTAGCGCCATCTGGGAAGCCCAAAAGAGGGTAAACGGAAATCCAAACCCACTCAGGGATGCTTCCTCACACAAGAGTTTAGTGACAGGGAAATAACCAAATAGGAGGCCATGAGATTACTTAATCTGAAGTGGCTAAGAGAGGAAGGGATTGCCTCTAGTTGGGAGAATTTACTATGAAACTGACCTTTGTTTAAGGAAATTTAAATAACTTATCTATTCACTGTAAATCCAGTTGAAATGAAGTTGGTACCACATAAAACTGGCTTTCCTAGCTTTCTAAACATGCTGGTCACTCAGTAAGACTTATGTAATGAAATATGTTATAATCTTGTTCAGGAGTTTCCAAATTGTCACACTATTTATATGACAAGATGCTTGGAAAGCCAAACATTTCTGTAGTTTGTGCTTACTACAAATTGATTAAGGACACTGTATGTTTTTATAGTCATGAAAATAAGCATTGGCCCTAATATCAAGGACAGTCAAGCACTAAGACAACTTAAATCACTAAAATACTTTCCCTCCTCCATAATCTCTCAGAGTTTATCTTTTGATGGTATGTGTATTAATGAGTAAAATCAGATTACTGGCTAGGGAAAAATAACTGTGCTATTTTGGCATGTCTGGAATAACATGTGAGGATGCCTTACTTGGTAAGATACCTTACCCTGGAAAGTACAGTCTAGAATGAACAGTATTCTATAGTATATCTATAGTATTCTATACTATTTATAGAATGCATGAATAAATGAGTACTAGAACAATCTTACTTAATAGTTTATGTGGACTAAATGTGCTATATTCATTAAACACATTTCCAAGTTTAGGAAGACTTCCATTTTTAATAAAGATGCCTAAGAATCAAAGCCATGACTCCTATTTAAGTATTTGATATGACAATACAATCATCCACTGGAAAAGATAACACACGGTATTTTCTTATCTAGAACATCAAACTTGAGCAATCTATGTTAGATGTTAGTTTCAAAACAATTGTAGCAATGTTTCTGTTAATCTGAAAGTGAAAGTGTGAAAGTGTTAGTTGATCAGTCACATCCAACTCTTTGCGATCCCATGGATTGTAACCTGCCAGGCTCCTCTGTCCATAAAATTCTCCAGGCAAGAATACTAGAGTGGGTTGCCATTTCCTCCTCCAGGGGATCTTCCTGACCCAAGGATCGAACCTGTGTCTCCTGCACTGGCAGACAGATTCTTTACCACCAGGAAAGTCATGTTAATTTGAAATAAAATATTAAATAGATGATACTTTTATTAGCTATATGCAGTACATTAGGTGCATCTTCATTTTGCACAATGCAAGAAGGCACTAAATCTCCCCATGAATGGTGTGAAAGTAAAATCTTATTCAGGCATTTTAAAAAACACTTTTATTTATTTGTTTATTTTTGGCTACGCTGGGTCTTTGATGCGGCATGGACTTTTTTCTAGCTGCGAAGCGTGGGAGCTACTCTCGAGTTGCGTGCGCCTCGGGCTTCTCTTCGGGCGGCTCCTCCTGCTGTGCAGCATGAGGTCTAGGGCGCTCGGGCTTCAGCAGGTGCCGCATGTTAGCTCAGTGCTTGCGGCTCCCGGGTTCCACAGCTGTGATGCGCGGGCTGAGCTGCTCCACTGCCAGGTGGGATCTTCCCAGACCAGGAATCGAACCTGTGTCTCCGCCACTGGCAGGCAGACTCCTTACCACTGAGCCACCAGAGAGGCCCCTTATTCAGGTATCTGAAAACTATTTTGATCCTGAGAAAGAAATCTGGAAGAGAAATCTTCCTGGCTTCTGACCAACAATTTTGTTATTGTGTCAACCAAATAATTTTCAATTTATTATGTCAGGAAATCATAAAGATAATTCTTTCCCACATTTTACAACTGGGAACTCCTGAGGTTAAATCTCTTTTTAGTTATAGATATGGGAAACAATACATCAAATATATATGTATATATAAAATCTTGCTTAAATTCATTTTGCCAAAATTCTATCAAGCTCTATCATCTCCATAAAAGAAAACATGGTTTGAAATAATTAAATGAAAAACAAATATTGCTCTCACATTCACTGTTTCAAACTTCATGCATCTGCCTCTTTTACAGGATCCACATTTGATTTCATCAAGGGCTTTGTTCCTGAGAATTCACTGCAGAGTCAAGAAAAGAAAATGAGTTATATGCAGCTGTATGGGGTTGTGTTCAGTTAATCATTTACTCTAAGTTATATGGACCTAAAGGCATGACCCATGGTAAATTAAAAGAGCAACGGACTAATAATTCATAGCTTAATCTGGATGCTGTTTTAAATCTCTTTGAATTTCCATTTTCCCACTGGAAAAATGATGAAAATGCCTGCCTTGCATCTACTTATAGGAATTTTAGGAGGACTGAGATGCTATATCAGAAATACTTTGAGACTATCTAAGGTTAGTTGTATCATAATTCCTAGTATTTTTAAATAGCTTTGGTTTTTATTTTACATAGATACTAGTAAGGAAGACTGGGGAGATAATGGTTCCTTCTATTACAAGCCTTTTTTAGAATTTCTTAACACATATCAACGACCAGAACAAGATAATATTTGTGATCCTTGATTACTTTAAAAAACAAAACACAATTTTTAAAAAGCACAAAAGTTAAGAGTGGTAACTTTCTGTTCAGCTCAAAATTTATTTTAGAAATGATAACTTCACAATGAACTATTCACCTTTAGTCTTAAGGGTATTTCAAAGGGATGATTTAAATTTCTGATATTCTGGTTCCCACTGATGAATTCTCCATTTTGACAAGTTTTGATGAAGTCTATTCACTCTAGACAATTTATGCAAACCTAACTTGAATAGCTGATTTTGACTTTATCCCCTTGAGTTGCTAGAACTGCCCTGATTAAATTTTAAAATATAATTACAGGTAGCACATTGAGTCAGTCAGTTAGTCAGAGAAATCTGAGCTCTGAAAGCCTACTTCCTGTACCACACTGCATTAAGTGCTCTGGAGGAGGGCGGGGGTGGATGGGAACAGTCATCATGAAATGATTTAAGGATTATTATTAACACAACAGATCACCAAGCACAAAGCACTCAAGTGGAAATTCTATACACAAAAGTTCAAGAAATGGAGAATAAAAGCAGCACCTTTCCGGCTTTAACTGCCTGTCCTATATATTTAGTAAATGTGTTTTGTGACTGCTAGTAGCTTTGCTGGCATCCCAACAAAGTAAATTAAACAACGTTGGTCTACTTAACAAATGGGCAATCTGGGTTGGTGGAGAGCAGTTCTTTAATTTATTTTACCTGGTAATATTGCTACAGCTTTACTCAGTGAAGGGTCAGGGAGACTTTTTTTTTTTTCTTAACTTTTTATTCTGGAATAATGTTAGATTTACAGAAATGTTGCAAAAAATACTACAGTGTTCCAATATACCATTACGCAGTTTCCCTTAATGTTAGTATTTTTACATTGCCATAGTACATTTTTCAAAACTAAGAACCAACATTGGAATGTTACTATTGACTAAACTGTGGAATTTATTCTAATTTCATTCATTTATACTAATACCTTTTTCTGTTTCAGGATTCAGTCCTTATACCCTACATTGCATTTAATAGGAGTGTCTAATGTCTTACTGCTAAGATTAAAAAAATCAACTGTTTCTGGGCAATGAGGTTAATCAGTCAAAATATTAATGTGGAGCAGTAATAAAAATAAACTGAGTGTTCAAGAGCCACCTGGGCACACCATAGTGTCAGATTCTTAACCTTAGCAAAAAGTACATGTGATTTTGTAGGTAGTCATTAACCTCTTTTATTTACCTGAAGATGACTGTATCAAGACAAGCTCTACCATCATTTCTAGAGGGCTCTTGGTCATTGTTGTTTGGTTATTGTTTTGGGGGCCTTTTTTTTTTTTAATATCCATGAGATTTTGATAAGACTATTCTTTTGCTATCACCTAGTATAGACACCTAGATTTTCCAAATGAAGACATGAGAAGAGGCTGACTTGGGTCCCAGTTAAGGAAACTTACCTTAGATACTAGAGAAACAAGACCTTAAGTAGTCTGCTAAACATCACTTCATGGGAAATAGATGGGGAGAGAGTGGAAACAGTGTCAGACTTTATTTTTGGGGGCTCCAAAATCACTGCAGATGGTGACTGCCGCCATGAAATTAAAAGATGCTTACTCCTTGGAAGGAAAGTGATGACCAACCTAGATAGCATATTAAAAAGCAGAGACATTACTTTGCCAACAAACGTCCATCTGGTCAAGGCTATGGTTTTTCCAGTGGTCATGTATGGATGTGGGAGTTGGACTATGAAGAAAGCTGAGCACCAAAAAATTAATGCTTTTGAAATATGGTGTTGGAGAAGACTCTTGAGAGTCCCCTGGACTGCAAGGAGATCCAACCAGCCCATCCTAAAGGAGATAAGTCCTGGGTGTTCACTGGAAGGACTGATGCTGAAGCTGAAACTCCAGTACTTTGGCCACCTCATGCGAAGAGTTGACTTATTGGAAAAGCCCCTGATGCTGGGAGGGATTGGGGGCAGGAGGAGAAGGAGGTGACAGAGGGTGAGATGGTTGGATGGCATCACCAACTCGATGGACATAGGTTTGAGTAAACTCCGGGAGTTGGTGATGGACAGGGAGGCCTGGTGTGCTGCGATTCATGGGGTCGCAAAGAGTTGGACACGACTGAGCAACTGAACTGAACTGACTGAAACATGTATTAGAGGGCTTCCCTGATGGCTCAGTGATCTAGAATCCTCTTGCCAATGCAAGAGACATGGGTTTGATCCCTGGGTAGGGAAGATTCCCTGGAGAAGGATCCCCTGTAGGTGGTTGCCACCCACTCCAGTATTCTTGCCTGGGAGAATCCCATAGACAGAGGAGCCAAGTGGGTTACAGTCCAGGAAGCCTCAAGGAGTTGTACACAACTGAGCAACTGAACAAAAACAGAACATGTATTAGAAGATAATTATGAGTCAAGACCAATGGGTCTCCAACTTGGGCATGCACAAGGATTACCAGAGGGCTTGTTAAAATACAGATTTCTGACTTCCATCCCCAGAGTGTCCAACTCAGAGGGTCTGGGCTAGCCCAGGTATTTGCATACTAACAAGTTCACAGGTGCTGTGGACGATGCTAGTCCCGGAGCTACGCTTTGGGAGTTACTTTTGTTGACAGTCGCACGGAAGAAAAATAAAGTCACTTTGTTCTGATGAGGTAAGTATAATCATAGGTCCCTGGATTTATCTGTTGCCTACCAGTTTGATAAGGGATCTGTTAAATCTCACTTCATGTTTGTGCGAGGACTAAGTTAGAAAAATAAAACAAAGATATGAGCTTTCCACAGCAGTTCTCACAAGTCTATCTTCCCTTCAATCAATTCAATCATTTTTAAAATATTTTTTGACAATAATAAAATATTATTATAAACCAACCATAAATTTTTGGCCTGAAACAAGGCCTCTGATTGGTCAATGAAACTTAATAGGGCTGGGGGATGAAACACACATCTTCAGCAGTGTTTCTGAAACTTTGCTGTGTTTATGGATCACCTAAGGATCTTTCAGGTGGTCTAGGTGTGGACCCTGAGATTCTGCATTTCTATCAAGCTTCCAGATGATGCATTACTGCTGGTCTTGGATCATACTTCAGGTTAGGTATATGCCTTTTGATGGTTTTAGCAAATACAAGATGTTCTAGCATCTAGTACTCCCTGGAGAATCTTGGAACTTCCTAGCAATGCTCTGTCATAGAAATAGTTCTTTGGGTGCCTGATTCACTTTGCTGTACAGCAAGAAAGTAACACAACAATGTAAAGTGCCTACACTCTAATTTAAGAAGAAAGAAATAAAGAAAAAACAAACAAAACAAGAAATAATGCCTTTGACTAAGGCAAGTTTTGGAATATACAAATCTGTATCCTGAACCCAAGTCTTTAGAATAAAGGGATAATTGTAGGGAAACTAAGTCAACAAAATCTCCCTGGAGTGCACTGGTACATGGTGGAAACTTCTTGAATCTGGTCACTTACTGAGGGGTCCTTTATCTTTAATCTCTATTTTTTTACCCTGGTTAATCTAGTAAATGGGAGTAATCTAGGGAAAAAGTACAGAAGAGTATAATCCAGTTCTGCAGTTTCTGCCCAGGTCACTGCCATGAATGCGTGTCTCATGAACAGGTCTTCAGTTCCTGAGGCTGTTCTTCCATCTCCTTAACTTTCTCTGTCTCAGAGGTCCTCCTGGCTCTTGTGATGGAATTTCCAGGAAAGCTACTGACTTTTGTTATTCCCCCTAAATGAAGTTTTAGCCAATGACCAACAATATATAAGACCTTTTCAGACCTTATCATCCCTGTTAGAATCTAAAGGGATAAAGGATAAGGGGCCTTTTATATCTATTTCATCTGGTTGCTATAGAGAAAAAAAAAGGAAGCTTCAGAAAAATTGAAAAGGTTTGCTGATTGCCTCCAGAAGAGGAAGACAGGCTATGATGCATTCTTTTCCATAGTGGGTTGGAAGAGAAACCTTAGTCAGAATCAACTAATAGTATAAACTGTGGCTCATGCATCCTGAACAAGTGAATAGGGTAGAAGGACCCCCACAAAGCCCCCCTCAGACTGCCTCCATAAGTAGACTCCCGGAATATACTCAGGTAAATGAAAAGGTGTCTCTAGCTAAATAATGGTGGCAATGGAAGAGTCAGGCAACCTTCAGGGGTCCACAGATGAGAAAAGGTAACAGTGAGATGGCCTAGCCCTGGGTAGTATACGTCAACAAAAGGCTCTCACTACTCACGAGTCTCCTAATTCCCTGCTCCTATCCCTGCATTGCATTATGGGCACTACCATCAGTAACCTGGAGCCAAAAGAAACCTCTATTCAAAAAAAGCAGAACTTCAGAAAACAGTTCACTACGGTAAGCTTGACAACTTACTAGTACCAGAAGACTTCTCTGATGAGACTAGTAGTGATTTTAACATTGTGATTTTTTTGATACTGTATAGTGTGTCAACTTATAGAAGAAATGCATAACTTAGTGAACCACTATTTTTCAGATGACCAATGAATGCATGATGTTACAAAATCATGCATCAGTAAAAGATCCATTCAAAATGCAAAACAGACCAATAGATTTTAAGGTAATAGAACATAAAGAGTTTGCTGATATGATTTTAGGTTATACAGTGCAATTAATCTTTAAAATTAAGGGTTTTCCTGATAGCTCAGTTGGTAAAGAATCCTCCTGCAATGCAGGAGACCCTGGTTCCATTCCTGGGTTGGGAAGATCACTGGAGAAGGGATAGACTACCCACACTGGTATTCCTGGGCTTCCTTTGTGGCTCAGCTGGTATAGAATCTACCTGCGATGCGGGAGACCTGGGTTTGATCCTTGGGTTGGGAACATCCCCTGGAGAAGGGAAAGGCTACCCACTCCAGTACTCTTGCCTGGAGAATTCCATGGACTACATAGTCCATGGGGTCACAAAGAGTTGGACACAACTGAGCGACTTTCATTCACTTTCAATCTTTAAAAAACTTGCTAGTCAAATATTAATGTAATATCAAAAAGAACATCCTTGGCTCTCAGCTAAAGTTCTTAAATACTCCTCCCTTTTCCAGTCACAGACCTGTTTGAGGCAAGATTTTTCATTATATTCTTTAACCAAAATGGTATGTCACAATATGTTAAACAGAGACATAGATACAAATGCAGTATCTCCCATTAAGTCAGACATAAAAGAGATTTGCAAAGCACGTAAAATGTTACTTCTCATTGGCCTTTTTGTTTGGAAAAATATAATTATTTTCATGAAGTGTGTATATTATACATAATTGGTTTATTGTTATTATTTTTAAATAAATTTTTTCTAAGAAAACTGAAGAAATTAAAAATTTCTACATGGTAAATATTGATAGATATAAAGCATATAAACAAATGTTCTTTGGAGTTCCCAATAATTCTTTTTAAGTGTTTTATTTATTAAAAGAAAAATTTCCCAATAATTTTTAAGGATAAAAGCTTGAAAACTGCTAACCTAAGCTATGGGTTTCCCTTGTGGCTCAGCTGGTAAAGAATCTTCCCACAATGTGGGAGACCTGGGTTTGATTCCTGGGTTGGGAAGATCCCCTGGAGAAGGGAAAGGCTAACCACACTTCAGTATTCTGGCCTGAAGAATTCCATGGACTGTATAGTCCACGGGGTCACAAGGAGTTGGACACGACTGTGTGACTTTCACTCCACTTCACTTCATCCTAAGCTAAGGACTATGCTTCCATCAGCTTTCATTTTTAATATTATGTCTGATAATTATACAGAATGCTTGCTATATTTTGTTTGTAAAATGGTAACAGTAGAAAATATTTTATGTCACATTATAATTCTATGATAATGGAAAATTAGAACATAAATGTGGGGGAAAATAAACAGTATTGGTTATAAACAATTGATATTTGTATCTCTGGTTTGGGTGATCGAATCACAACACATGGGTTAACGTCTATGGAAAATATATTCTGAGCTACAAGTGACTTGCAAATACACCTAATCTGGTTCTTCGAAGAAGATGTGAGAAGAAATTTGGTCTTGATTATAAAACACGGTGATGGTCATAGAACCTCTCATATTCTGGGCATTTGATTCTGTACTTGGGCTCTCCCCACTAAAAATCTTTGAGGGCAGGGAATTGCTTTTTGTTTTTTAATTCTATAAATACATATATTAAAAAATCCAGAGGATCTGGCATTAAGTATGACTTAATATTTGTTGAACGAGTGAATCAACAGAATACTAAATACTTAGATATACAAAAGTCCTGCCAGGCTGATGTTTAAATTTTATTTATGCTTGCTCCATAGTCAGAAATATCATCCAGAGGCACTGAATACCTTACAAAAATATAAATAAAAGCTTTTGTGATGAACTCAAACAACAAGAAATCACTTGAGGAGATGATATTTTAGTGAAACTGGATTTTTATTGTGGTGTTACTTTTCCTGGTAAGGATCAGAAATGTGTATCAAAGTTTCTGATATGGTGGAACTACATGCACTCTGCAAATATTAGCAGGCAGGAAAAAGAAAAAAGCCCTGTTTAAGCAAACAGCCCACCTTAATGCTAAGGATGAGGCTACTCAGAAAATAAAGTAAGGACTGTCCTTCCATCCAACACCAGCATGGCCAAGTTTAGTGTCTACTGAAAAAACGTTAAACGTTTCAAGGAAATTATTACAATCTATAAAGATTTACTTCTGGAAGAAAACTGTTGGTTTCCTAACATATTTCTGGAAAGGCCAGGATATGCATTATGTCTATTTCATCGTGTGGAGTACATAGAGATGACAGTATTAACCATACAATTAATCTCCAGGTTTTCAGTATTTGAGAAGTTCTTGTATTTGAGTCATTCTAATTCAGTTTTGGGTAGGAGTGTGTGTGGCTCCAGTATCGCCTCACAAAATTGTATTCATTCTACTCATTGACTTTTTCAACTTCTTTCAAAGGAGAGCTGACATCCTGAGAGTTGTATTGACACCGTGAATTCTTGTAATAACTTCTCTACCATCTTCATTAGTCACTAAGACAATTTAAGGTATACAATAAACAAAAGAGAGGCTTCTCAAACTTCTATGAGATAAGGAACTGCCAAAAACAGGTCTTGGAACCAGGGAGATATTCACAGAGGAGACACTAGCTCTGCAATGGTTCTACTGTCCTGTCAAAAGAAAATTTGGAGAGCTTCACTTGATAAAAGCATTTTACTGAGCAAGAAACACTGCTCAAAAACTGGGCAATTTTGAGCCGAAACGTGGTTAGAAGCTCAGCATGCAGCAGTGACAGCTGAGTTTAAAAAGCATGAATGTGGGAGCACATTTGTGTGTGTGTGTGTGTGTGTGTGTGTGTGTGACTGGTTACTAGAAACTTACAGTCTTTTTATGGTAGCAGCACTGTGCAAGCTTAACTGTCTATAGCAATTCGCTGGGAAGCTATAAGGTCATACTGACCTGAAAAAAGCTGTTTTAGTTTTAGATCAGAGTCAGGCTTTGGGCAAATCTGGACAGTTTAAGAGTTTTGGTTATATAACTATAAGTGTTTGTCTAAAAGTTTACTCAAAATGGGGCCTCTATTTTGGTTTTTCTTTAACTGTTAACAGACCAAATGGCATAATTCAAGCTCAGAGAGCATTAGTTTATTACTTTGTGTTTCTCAAAGAGTTATAGCACATTGTAAACAAAAAAATTTTTATCCCTAAACTTTGTATTTCTTTTTCCTCATGCAATAGACTAATATTTTGTACTTATGGAATGGTTTCTGTTATGTAAAGAGCTTAAGTCATATTGTAAACACAGATCAAATTTTCTCAGCAGAATCTTAGGTTTTTTCTCTTTGGATCACTGAACTCATCTGGTGTTCATGTGTTGTATTCCAGGGTATTCAGGAATATCATGTATATTTGTATTCTCAAATATCAAGTAAAAAAAAGTTATTAACTATCAAAATTAGATGTGTTATTTTAAAATAATGTATAGTCTATTAGGAGTAGGCCCTGCAAATAACAAACAATAAAGCAGTTACTGAAAAGAAGTGCATGGAAGAAATGGACCTCAAACTAAGGAGCACTCTACATTGAACACTACTGAATACTTACACTAGAATTCTGTTTTATCTTCTTCCAAACTGTAAGCTACTTGAGGGCAAGCATGATGTCTTTTTTCCTCAACAATATTTAGCTTAGCCTCTAGATCTAGAAGTAATAAAAATAACTAGTTAGCATTTATTGCATGTGTATGTTTCTTTAATGCACATTATCTGAAGAAACTATGTGGTAATATTAGCCCAGTTAACAGATGAAGAAAATGAGGCTCAGAGAGATTACTGATTTAACTGAGATTTTATATCATCTATGTGACTGAATCAAAACCTAAACACAGATCTGAACACAGAGCCCACTGTTTCCATCATACTTGCTCTCCCTATTCATTAGAGTAGTATTAAACATACTTTTGCTGAATTGGTCAACACTTTTGTGATTTCTTCCAGATAAGAATTCTGATCATAGAAATAATTTTATTCAACTCATACAACTATCATTACCAACAAGCAAGGAAGGCAACAAGTAATGAAGGCAGCCTCTATAAACAGCTCTTGGTCTCATTTGTATAGCACCTCTAAATAAATAAAAACAGTTCTCCATTTCAGGATTATTTTATTTTTACAAGGAAAGAATGTACTATATGTAGAGAGACAGAAAATATTAAGACTAGAAGAGACTTCCAAAATATTTCAGTCTGTTTTTTAGATAAAGGTTGGTTTGTCTCCTCCTGCTGCCCCCCCCCCACCTCAATTACAATCTGATTATTCCTCTTTAAATAAGCCAAGTAATATTTTTATGACTGCTTGAAGCCAAACCTGTAGGCTAGTGACTTTTTAGCTCCACACTATTTTTTCCTTTTTATTGTATTGTATAATTCAAATCCAGTTTTGGATCTAAACAGACAGGTTTTGTTTTCTAATCACAATTCTAGACTCGTAGCTTGCTAGAAGGTTTTGGTGGGGCTTGTATTCTAAAATACAGTTTTGATATCTTTAATATCCTGTTTAAAAGAACTTGAAAAGGTGAAAATGAAGGATGGAAACCAAAATATTAGACTATCAAAACACCCAATGCCAATATTGAAACATATAACTTGAAATTAAGGTAATTTCTGGAAAATCAACTGCTGACAGTAAACCAAAAAGAACTGTTTAGAGGTCATTTTCCTAAAATTAGAATGAGGAATATAGCAAAATTTAATTACTGGGAAAACATGTTCGCTTTCATGACATGCTACTCTCTTGATTTTCCCTTTCATTCTCCTTTACTAGGTCCTCCTTTTCTTTCTAGCTCTTCATGTGAGGCTGCTTCAGGGTTCAGTTCATCATTCTCTTTTCTATTTCAGTTCTTTATCTACACTCACTATAATAGTTTGAATTACTATCCATTAGCTGATGACTCCCCAGTTCTGATTTCCAGCCCATATCTCTCTCTCCAACCATCCAGTCATTCAGTCAAAAATCCTGGAGTCATCTGTGACTCTTCTCTTTCTCTTATGCCTTTCATTCAACTGTCAGGAATTGCACCTCCCAAAACAATCTGTTCACTTCTTACCACCTCCACTAGTACCACCGCTTCAAGACATTCATTTTTCCCCTCCTATCACTTTCCCTCCCCTACAGTCTACTCTCAGAAGAGTCTGAGTGATGCTTTTAAAATATGTCATCACACCATTCCTTTACTCAAAATCTTCCAAGAAATCTGCATCTCATATAAAAGCCAAAGCCCTTACAAAATCTTACACAATCTGTCACCCTAACTCCCATGCCCACTCCCACCCACCTTTACTCTCCTCTCTCATTGACCTCTGGCTTCAATGAAGTTTTCTGAACAAGCCAGGCTCGCTACTGACTGAAGCCTTGGACCTGAATGTTTCCTTGGCCTGAACAGCTTTTCTCCTAGATAAAAAGCTTTGCTTTTCTCATATTAACAGCTCTTCCCCCAGATAACTGCACTGTATGCTCCATTTGTTGTTACTGTTCAGTCACTAAGTGGTGTTCCACTCTTTTCCAATTGCATGGGCTGTAACACACCAGGCTCCTCTGTCCATTTGAATTCTGGGGCAAGAATACTGGAGTGGGTTGCCATTTCCTTCTTCAGGGTATCTTCCGGACTCAGGAATGGAACCAGGATCTCCTGCATTGCAGTCAGGTTCGTTACCCCTAAACCACCAGGGAAACCCATATGCCCTTCAAATCTCTGCTCAATAATTAAGACCACTCTCAGAATCCTATTTAAGAGCTATAACCCGTCCCTTTATCCCCTCATCTTCTTTTATCCTGTTCTATTTTTACAACACCATGCATATTTAATAGCTTACCACAGTAATTATTTGGGAGATCATTTTAGTTTCTAGTACAATGTAAACTCTATAAAGACTGTTTTGTACTTAGGCCATAGTGGCTCAGTGGTAAAGAATCCGCCTGCAATGCAGGAGACCCAGGTTCTATCCCTGGGTGGGGAAGATCTCCTGGAGAAGGAAATAGCAATCCACTCCAGTATTCTTGCCTGGAGAATTCCATGGATAGAGGAGCCTGGCAGGCTACATACAGTCCATGAGGTCACAAAGAGTCCGACAGGACTGAGCAACTAACATTTAGGTTTGTTAATGTTAAAAGTCAATAATGAATTTCAGCAACTCATTTCACAGTTCACACGCCTGGGCAAGCTCCGTATACCCTCCTCAAGCCTAAATTTCAGTACCTCCTTAAACTGATAAAACTCAGCAAACATGCACTTTCCTTTAAGAACTTCCCGACCCGGAAATAAAAGCTTAAGGACGGGGGTGGGAAGAGGAAGCTACTTCCGTTTCCGTACAGACCACAAGGAGCAAAAATACCATGGCGAAGGCCGGAGATAAGAGCGGAGGCAGCGGAAAGAAAGGCCTGAAACGCAAAGCCGCTCCTGAAGAAGCTCAGGAGGCTGCAGTCGGTGAGGATGGGACGACGGAAAGCGGGGTCCAACCCCCAACGACGGCTGCCTTTCCTCCAGGATTCAGCATTTCGGAAATTAAGAACAAACAGCGGCGACACTTAATGTTCACGCGGTGGAAACAGCAACAGCGGAAGGTATGAGGCGGCGGAGTCGCCAGGGCGCGTGCGCGATGTCGCTCTAGGAGCCAGTGGGGTGGGGCGGGCTGGATGATGCACATGCGTGGTCACCACTGCCCGGGTCGCAGGCGGCGTTTATTAATCCGGAAGGGGTAGGGGCCAAGCAACCCTGCCCTGGTTCTTGCACCCTCACTCTCGGCTCAGCTTTCCGTCTGAGCAGCATGGATTGCTTTCCTTGTCAGCTCTGTTGTCCTCGATTGCGAAAGAAAGCAAGAAGCCTTGCTCTCCTAGCATTAAAAATTACTTCCCTGCCTGGCTCCTCTGTGCCCCCCTCCACCCGCCAGATTTAGAAGGCAAAATCTTCGTCTCCGATTTACCCCGTCAACCTAACGTTGGCTAATGCCTAAAATCTGCATTACAGGCAGTACAAGCATCCAAAATGATCCTTCCCTGATTGCTGTAGCCGCTCTTACCGAAGTTAGACTGTAAAGTTCTAGAAATTGGATTTACTCTTTTCATTGTCCTTATACCAATCTAGAAGGTAAACATGTAGAAAAAGATAAAGCCCAAAGTCATAGTGCTCATTTGTGGTTAAATTACGCTTGGAAGCAAGTTGCTTATTGCATATAGGGAAAATTCATACACAGTATTCTTTTTACTTGCCTGCTGCCTCTTGCTAGACTTGTTAAGGCCCTGCACGGTGTCTTATTTGTCGTAGGTGACAAAGTGCTATTGGAGTACCTGGAAGGACAAAAAACCCATTTTGTGGCGCACGTATGGGGGAAGGGTGTCCTAGATGTCTTGGGTCTGTAATTTCTAATCGGAGACCTGGTGGATTGAGGATCAACAGGCGCTAGGGAAAAGAAATTTTTTATTTTATGTTGTGTGGCAAGCATCCTGTTCAGAAGTCCCCAGAAGTTACAAATTTACAGTAACATCCTCCAGATTCTGAATAATAAAAGCATATTCTGATTATAAAATGTTTGAATAACTAGTAATGGATTTATTGTAACCAGTGTGAAAACTCTCATTATCATTATTTTTAGCACTTTTCAAGAGAAGCCACCAGAATAGCCATAAGTTTTCTTTAGGTTGCAACTTGTTAGGAATGCAAAATAACTATAGCTTGTTAACTTAGCATACATTTTGCACTTTCACTTTATTTGAGGCTTTAGAGTAAAAGATAAAGCTAATGAAATTTTGAATATTCAAACTTGTCCATTTAGATTATTTTGAGGGAGCAAGATCATCTGGTTTACAATTACTTAGGTGTGAACATCTAAGTCTGGATGTTTATTTTAATTCAGTTCTAAGACTGGTCAGTTTAAATATTCATAGCATTAGTAATTTCATTATGTGTTTGCTATGTAACTAGTAGTTTCTCAATATTGTTCTTTTCTTTTTTAAATCCTTTAGGAAAAGTTGGCGGCTAAGAAAAAACTTAAAAAAGAGAGAGAAGCTCTTGGTGATAAGGTAAATAAAATTTTTAGTCCTCTGCTTTATATCTTGTATTAAGGAATGTTCCCTGATATTTACATTGAATCATTTTATTTTAAAATTTATTATGAAATATTTTGAATGTTTAAAATGATATAAAAACAATACAGCACACCCCTTTCTATCCTTTACTCAAGAAATTATGCATTAGTAAATAGTGTTCAAGTCTCTTGTGTGGTATTTTCTGATTGCTTTCCCCTCCAAAGACAATCACTCATTGGGACTTCCCTGGCAGTCCAGTGGTTAAGATTCCACACTTCCCCTGCAGGAGGCAAGGGTTTAATCCTCGATTGATTGGGGAACTAAGATCCCTTTTGTCTCTGAAGCAGGGTCAAAAAAAAAAAGACAATAACTCATGAAATTGCTTTTTATTATTGCCATGCACTTTATTTGTTTCCTTTATTATGTTTGTGTGCATAAACAGTAAATACAGTAGTAGTGGTATTTTGCATGTTTTCAGAATTTCAAAGTGGTGTATATACTTCCAGCTTGCTTATTTTACTTAACTTCATGTCTTTGAGAGGTAGAGACGCATTATCCCTGATTGGGAATGGAGAAGCTCCCCACCATAGGCCTGTAACTGGAGTGCTTCAGACTTGAAGCAAAGGCGTTTTGTTATGCTAGGCTGAAGAAGGGCATGATAGAGCCTCTTCTGTTGTAGGGTTGGGATGTGTGAGCCTGAGAGCTGACAGAGGATATAACCTGTGAAGAGTGAGAATGGGGAGTAGGAGGAAGGTGAGACACCTGAGTGGATTGTGGCAAAGAAGAGAGCATCAAGAAAGGATTTAGCTGTTTTTGTGATACTGACAAAAAGTGAAATCTTTCTATTGAAAAATTTTAAAAGAACTATTGACTGCTTCTGCATTATTGCACAGCTAAGTCATTTTCATTTTATTTATAGTTCTAGGTTGCGTTTTATATGTGCAAAATTTTAAAAATGTTCAACTCCCCCCTCCTCCCATCTTTTACTTAAAATGGAGTACCAAGTAATAATAAGCATTTTTGAGGAAGGGAAAAATACAGACTATATACATATAGTGTATACAAACTAAATATTACTTTTCCATGAATTCTCTTGAATAGTATTAGATTAAATCACAGGAAATTCCAACATTAAGACTGTTTTCACCTGCAAAATCCTATCAAGCAGTGTTAGTCTCTTTTTAACTCAATAATCTGTTAGTTACAGCAAATTAATATGCTGATCACCATTTGAAAATATCACCATTCTTGTTTTTGGATTGATAGTTGATCTAGAACTGCCTCTTTTTAAAAAATTACTTAAAACTTAATATTCATTTCATAAAATAATACAAAAGAATTCCTAAATAGTTTGACAGGTCATTTTCATCTCTGTTAGTGTACATATATTTTTAGATTAATCAGTGTATGGTTATGGTTTTGTGTTCTTGCTCCTTAAAATTTCGTTTACACAATTTCTTGATCTAAGCTGAGTGTATGTGATTGCTGATGCTAATGGTATTCCATTAAGTTGGCACTGCCATAGTCATTATCTTGTTGTTGGGCATTTGCCCTGTTTACTGTTCATTTCCACTAACCGTAGTGATTATACATATTTCTTTGTATAAATTGCTCCCCTTTTCATTCCTTACCATAAATTCTCTAAGCTAGAATTACTAGTTCAGCAGAAAGATACAGATTTGTAGCCTTTGTTAGATATTTCTGAATAGCTTTCTGAAAGTATTCGAACAAACCTACCTAAATATGTACCTTTGTAATTTTTCTGTTATGTTTGATATTTTTCATCTTTTTGAATAACCATTTTGAATTCTGTCTTCTCTTTCTGCTACTTTTGCCTGGCTTTAAGCCATTTCATCCTGTCCGCAATTCTTCCAGTAAGTGCTTGTGTGTGCTCAGAATTAAAAAGCCTCTTGCTCAGTATTATGGTTACTAGGACTGATGTAGCAGTGGGTTGAATGAGGGACACATTGAGTTTTTGCATTATTTGCAGATTTTTGTTATTCTTCCCCACGCATAATGCAAAATTATTAATGTGAAATGCTTCCCAGACTTAACATTTTTTTTCTTTTATTTAGGCTCCACCAAAGCCTGTACCCAAGACTATTGACAACCAGCGAGTGTATGATGAAACCATAGTAGATCCTAATGATGAAGAGGTAAATGTTAGAAGTTTTAAATAAATTTGGATAATCACATTTGATAAATTATCTGTTCTTACGCCAGTGTTTAAAGTACTAGCTCGTGAAGTTTTATAATGGATTGATTTAGCTATAATGCTGGCATATTATCTTATTATTTGTTGAAGATTATTTCATAATTGGGTTTTCCAACAATGCTGTAGAAAAAGGCAATAATTATTTATTTTCTCAAAAGGTATTTTATGCAGATAGACTTATTTGTCATTTAATCAATAATACTTCCAGTGTTTTTTAATGTCATTTGAAAAGCAGTCCTTGTTTTATAAATTTTTGCTATAGATTTTTGTAGTATTTGTTAGACATTTTGACAACTAAGGTAATCTGATGGTATTTTTGTGTGTGTCCATATAAAACTTGGTTTCAAGATAATCTTTCACTTTTCCCTTTAGTTTGCAATAGTACAGTGAAAGAGTCAAGGTTTTAAAACACATTCATGTACTTAATTATCAGAAACGGATTTCTCTTATTAGGGTGAGAAAGGAAATCAATTTCTTTCTTCTACTCCATAACCAGTTTCCCAGCACCATTCTTGAAGTAGTACAGTCTTTCTCATAGTAAATTGTAGTGCTGTGTGATATATTAGTTGTCCATATGTGCTGAGTCTTTTTTTCTTTGGTAGCTTGTTACTGGATCAGTTCTTTACTTTCTTGATTATTTAGCTTCATGGTAAGTTTTGATAGCTGTGAAGGAAAGATGCCCCTCGTCCTCAAATCCCTCTCTTCCAAGAGTGTTATCTTCCTGGATCTTTCATCTTCCATGTAAAAGTATGAATCATACTAAATCAGATCAGTGTCAGAATCTAGGTAGTATTGGGTTGGCCAAAAAGTTCATGCGTGTTTTTCTGTGCCTTCTTAACGGAATGTTTTACAGAATGAACTTCTTGGCCAACCCTATGTGTGTGTGTGTGTGTATCCACTATATACATATATATATATATATGTAATTATATATATGTAGGTAGTGAAATGGCTCAGTTGTGTCCAACTCTTTGCGACCCCATGGACTGTAGCCTACCAGGCTCCTCCATCCTTTGGATTTTCCTGGCAGGAGTCACTGGAGAGGGTTGCCATTTCCTTCTCCAGGAGATTTTCCCAACCCAGGGATTAAACCCGCGTCTCCCACATTGTAGGCAGATGCTTTGCCGTCTGAGCCACCAGGGAAGTCTTAGTATATATGTATTGTTTCAGTTCAGTTCAGT